AGCAGTAATATGGGTTACATTATAATAACCCAACAGCCTATTAATTTATTCAAAATATAAATCAAAATTATTACAAAACAAAAATTATGAAATTTGACACAACTTTAATGTAACAAATAATGATGCTCTCATGGATTTCATAAGAGAAAAACTACCTGAGAAAAAACTTGCCGTAGTTTATTGCCAAAGTATTGAATTATACAAAGTCATTTCAGTTTTTATACTATTGCAACATGTTGTACAGAGTATAATAGTTTTATTCATCTGACGGATGTTTGTATCACCTAAAACTAATCGAGATGGATATAGGGTTATACATATATAAATGATCAGGATGACGAGACGAGTTGAAATCCGAGACCCTGTTTGTCTGTCCGTCCATGCAAGCGGTAACTAAGCGAAAAATTGCGATATCTTGATTAAAGTTGGTAAAAAATTATGATAAAGTTGCAAATTCTAGAGGCAGAGGAGTAATGTAAGTACCCATATCACCTACATATGTACATATTATAGCTACACATATATGTACATTCATATTTACATACAATTAGAACTAAATCTATTCTTTTGCAGAAATACATATATACACAAAGTACAAACTTGTACTCATTTGTGGTCCCTACTGTACAAATATATTAACACTAGAACTACGAAGATTTACCATATACCTATTTCAAATAGGTCTCTCTCTCTCTGAAAATTAGAAGCGTAAGAACAAAATAATCTATAATATTATTCTATACATAAATTTAATAAAAAATCATGACAACATCGTAAAATATTAAATAGCAATAGAGGAAATGGTATAAATAAATGATGCAACCGGTCATTTTGACCGGTTCGTAGTTCTAGTGTTAATATAAACTTTACAATTTTGTTCATAACATTGTACATAATTCTGCTACTAAAACTCACACTACGGGTGAAAACGTTGAAAAAGGAACTTACAAACTTATACTCATTAGATCTTAGGGTTTCAGTAGGTATCCACTCAACAAAGGTTATGTTCAAAACCACTATAAGTATAATAAATTGTCAGAAGCATTTAAATAACCGAAAAGATTGAATACCAGTATAAAACAAGAAAAAACTTCGGTTGCACCGAAACTATAATCCCCTTCACAAATACAAAGCTTTCTTACAAGAACTTGATTCCGAATTAATTTCGTAAATATACCTCGTCAAATAAAAAAGTTTTCCATGCAAGCACTTTATTCCGATTGTTCAGCTAATATGGCAGCTATACCTATGCTAGTCATCCGATCTATACAATTTCTTCGCATATTGCATTATTGCCTTAGACAATAATTCATGCCAAATTTCTTTAAGATACTTCGTCAAATGAAAGTGTTCTCCATACAAGCACTTGATTCCGATCGTCCAGTTTGTATGGCATCTATATGCTATAGTAATCTGATCTGAACAATTTCTTAGGATAATGTATTATTGCCTTTGACAATAACCTATGCCAAATTTCGTAAAGTTATATCGTCAAATGAAAGTGTTTTCCATACAAGCACTTGATTCCGATCGTTCAGTTTGTATTGTAGCTATATGCTATAGTGATCCGATCTATACAATTTCTTCGGATATTGCATTGTTGCCTTAAAGAATAATCCATACCATAATTAGTGAAGATACCTCGTCAAATGAAAGAGTTTTCCATACAAACACTTGATTCCGAATGTCCGGTTTGTATCGCAGCTATGCTATAGTGGTCCGATATCAGCCGTTAAGACAAATGAGCAGCTGAATGGGCATGGCTGAATCAACTCAACTCATAATGCTGATCATTTATATATATATTTTATAAGGTCTACGACGTTTCCTTCTGGGTGTTACGAACTTCGTGGCAAACTAAATATAACCTGTTCAGGGTATACAAATTTTATCTTAATCTAACATTATCTTGACATCCTTAGGATACAGTTCGAAAATTAGCACAACCGAACTACACTTTTATATATAGCATAATAAATCAGATTCTTTCTCTTTTTTATCAATAAAGATATCGGAATAAAAATTTTCAACATTCAGTTATAGCGGTATTAACACAAGATATTTATATAAACTTGAGCGAGAATATTTCGATTTACATTATTACCGTATAACTTGTACTCATTTGTGGTCTCTGCGATGAGCCATATGTACGATTTCGCGGATACGTTAATAAGTAAAATTAACATATTTGGAGTGTGAATGAAAGCTACAGTTAAAAATATTGTCATGATGACACAACCAAATTGTATACATAATGACTAAAATATATTTAAGCAAGAAAAAACATTAACTTCAGTTGAACTGAATTTACAAATAAAAAAGTTTCCATACAAGAATTTGATCTGTCAGTTTGTATGGTAGCTATATGCTATAGCGATCGTTGGACAATATTTGAGCCAAATTTTGTGAAGACATCTTAAGAAATAAAAAAGTTAGTACACAAGGAATTGATTTTAATCGTTCGATTTGTATGGCAGCTATATGCTGTAGTGGTCCGATCTGAAAAATGTTTTCGGATATTGTATCGTTGGACTATAATTTATTTCAAATTTCGTAAAAATATCTTGTCAAATAAAAAAGTTTTCCATACAAGAACTTCATTATGATCGTTCAGTTTGTATGGCACCTATATACTATAGTGGCGCGATAACCGCGGTTCCGACAAATGAATAGCTTTTGGGGAGAAAAGGACATGTGAGAAGTTTTAGATCGATCCAAGTTTTGACATTCGGTATTATCGATATCAACCAAACCGGTCAAAAAAGTTTCGGTTAAAGTGTTGTCAAACTTTAACTCTTTTGTGGTATTACGGGTTTCAGGTCTGTGCCATTTTTAAAGTGTTTTGCTCCTTTTCAGTCATTTGTGTTTTTATCCACTGCGCACGAATACGGCGTTCATAATATTGGTCATGTAAAAAGTTCGTTTCTTATTGATTTTTCAAAACATGATAACTTTGTGTATATTTGTCCGATTTAAGTCAAATATGCGCCGTTTTGTTCGTAAACTTGTTGCCAACGAGATGCCAACTTCATTATACCCCTCTCGTAGAAGGCTACGCCTATTGGCAAAAAACTAGGAGAACTAATTTTCACAGGCCTCTCTTGAGGCCAACTTCTCACCATTAAACGCGTTCGCCATGGACAGGAAAAGATGGTAACCATTTGGTGCCAGGTCCGGACTACAAGGTGGGTGCATTAGGACCTCCCATCCGAGCTCCCGGAGCTTCTGGCGCGTCACCAAAGACGTGTGTGGCCTGGCGTTGTCCTGATGGAACACAATTCGGCCTATGATGATCAAAGATGGCCTATTCTGGGTGAGTGCTGCCTTCAAGCGGTCCAGTTGTTGGCAGTAGACGGCCGAATTGAGCGTTTGGTCATAGAAGAGCAGCTCATAGTAAATGATTCCTTGCCAATCCCACCAAACACACAGCAATACCTTCCTGGCCGTCAATCCGGTCTTGGCCACCGTCTGGGCCGCTTCCACGAGCTTTGACCTAGACCGTTTGCGCTCGATGTTGTCGTAAGTGACTCATTTTTCATCGCCAGTCACAATTCTCTTCAGAAACGGGTCGATTTTGTTGCGATTCAGCAGCGATTCGCAGATAGAAATTCGGTCCATCATGTTTTTTTGCGTTAGTTCGTGTGGCACCCAAACATCGAGCTTCTTTTTGAATCCAAGGTTATGCAAATGGTTTCAAACGGATTCCTGGCTTACCTTTAGTTCCTCAGCAATTAAATAAGTGCTCATGTGACGGTCTGTTTCCACTATTTCCATGATTTTATCGCAATTTTCGACGACAGGCCTCTCGACGTGTGGTGCATCTTTGACATCGGAATTACGGAACGGAACCTAGCAAACCACTTTTGTGCTATACGTCCGTTTACAGTATCGGGCCCATAAATTAAATTAATTTTTTCAGCCGCCTTGGCTGCTTTTTCGCCTTGATCGAAGAAAAATTCTAAAATATAGCGAATTTTCTCTTTGCTGGTGTCCATCTTTGACGAGCGCTCACAACGTACTGAGTCAATCAATCGAAAAACTGTCAAAGACAAACTTTTAGCGCGAATAAACACGTTTTCAGCGCCGTATAGTATGACATGATGCGACCGTAACACTAGTACTATGGACATTAATGCCATCTCTTAGATAAAAACCGAACGAACTTTTTGCTTTACCTAATAATTAAAACCTCTTTTACTGAGCCAGCCTAAAGTTAAAATTATTTAATCTGCATTTTTGATAACTACCGTCGGCAAGAAAACGTAGAGTTTGTGGTAATGTTCCTGTACCTATTATAGTAAAAAACAAACAAACTGCTTATTTAAACGAAAATGACTTATCAATCTGCAACGAACATTATTTAAAAGCCATTTAATTGTCAATAAAACTTTGATTTACTTGGCCTTAGGAAGTTCCGATGGGTTTGAATGATCGCGAAGGCTTTATCGTATGCGCAGCACATTTGGTGCCAACATTTTTGTCATCATAATATAAATTAAAACTAAGTACATTTTAGTAATTATTCACTGAATTGAATTGTTTTAATTTTACGTTAAAACTTTTCAGCTGTTTTATTATCTGTTAAATATACACTTTCTAGGTTAGAAATACCAATGAAACTTCAACGGAAATTAGTTAAACCTCGTAAAAAGTTGGAGTTAAAGAGTTTGGTTGAACTGGTTTTTAACATCAACTCAATTGAGTGGGGTTGAAAACCGTAATAGGTGTATTAAAAACTGAGAGACTAGTTCACGTATATACAGGCGAACAAACGGACATGGCTAAGCCGACACACTTATCGTATATATGAGGCCATTTAAATTTTTTGGGCCTCCAGCATTTCCTTCTGGAGGTTAACTTCGTGGCAAACTTAATATACTCTGTTAAGGGTTTACAGGTATATAAAATGTAGCAGCAAAAAATTGGCCTCATACAAGTAAATATGCGAAATTCTTCTTTGAGCCAGGGTGTTAATAGAAAACTTATGTTAATTAACTTACATTCATTCCTATAGCAGATTCCACCAATTCTTCCTTGCAGCTTTTTAACTCATGGATATGTAAACTCTCTTCGGGACCAATAGATGGAAGATTTTTATTGCATTCATTTTGAGTATCAGCTTTTTCGTTATCTGCTTCATAATCAACTGCGAATGGTTCAAGGTTGGTTTTCATTTCTGTTTCTTCTAAATGCGATTTCTGCTTCAAAAGAGACCCAAACTTTTCAAAGAAGCCACCATCGGTATCTTGTAATCTATGATTGAGTTAAAAGCAAATTTTTTTTATGAATATGAAATTATGGTACAGTATATTAATAGCGAACGGGCAGCACTTGTAGCGCAACCCTGCGGTAACATGTCTTCTGACGCATGCGCAATGTGTTACGATTCTTTCTTGGTGGAGATATTTTTTTTTGCGTTAAAAAACATTGCTATAACCATTTATTTTGGGTTTCTATAAATTATTGTATTATAATTGATTATAAGTCTTGTTTTAAAAATACAAGAAAAAAAATTTATAATTTCATTTGTCATTTGAACCATTCATAATAGTAACAGTAAGTTAAAATATGCAAAATAAAACATTGCAACATTGAAGATAGAAGTTATACCACTTTAATGAGACATCCGCATACTCTCTTACTTCAATTCAACTCGATAACTTTGTTGTTGCTATCACATGTAAATTTTTTGAAAAGAGATCAGAAAAATGGCCAATCGAAGACAGCTAATATAACGTAACCGTATAATAATATACGATAGCACGGTTTACGTTTTATCTTGAAATGTATTACTTTTATACGCACATAAACAACAATATCACCCAAAACCTGAGCGTTCCTTCTGACATGGTTAAGAATGCTCAGCACTATACATACAAAAATATATACAAACTTATTGCTGTTTACACAGTTATACTCTAAATATAATAAAAATTAATGGAATAATATAAACATAGCCAAGTCAGTTTATCGTTTTTAGATCGTCGCGGATCCCGTCAAGCGCTAATTTACTGGCTAGCCAAATTTTATATGGAACATATTATATCTTAAAGATAGAACGGTCGCCAAACTATTTTAATTTACGGGAAAGGCCGAAAACAGTTTGGTATATATATATATCTCCACATATGTATATATAGATATATATACGTATATCGAAAAACATATTATATAAAGTGATTGCCTTTTATACTTACATTTGTGTATTCAAAACGCACTTTACTTTTCCAACAATATACCAAAGTGTTTCAAGCAAATTGAGAATTTAACAGAGAAAGACAATTTGGCTTGGGAAGCTCTAAACGCAAGATATGGAAACGAGAGAAGTTTGGTCGATAAGCAAATAACGATATTAATGAACTCAATTCAAAAGTAAACAAAAGAAGAAGAATTTATCAAACTTCAATCCACTGTTTCAAATTGTTTGTCGGTTTTATCGCCACAGAATATTCCCACAGACAGCTGGGACCCTATACTGGTAAACATATGCACCGCCGCATTACCAGAAAAATCATTATCTTTATGGGAGCAATCGCTCTCATTACGCAGAAAATGCCCCACGTGGTAACAAATGACAAAAAATAGTCAGAACGTTCAACGCGACCTAAATAGCAGCTTCCACAGACCCAAATCCAGTAGCACCAAAAATTTGAATAGAAGCTTCTTCAAAAATCAAACGTGCACATCCGAACAGTGCAAACAATGCGAGAGATTCAAAAAATTGAATATTATCGACCGAAACAATTTTGTAAAAACAAAAAGAACTGCCTGTCACATGGGCATACACTTAAAAAGTGCAAAAGCAAATTTAATTGCGTTTATTGCCATAAACGGCATCATTCAATGCTTCATTACAGCACATTTTCCAGCTCATCCCCAAACAGCGCAAATGTGAAAAGAGCCATGGGTTTAGTTGCAACAGAAAATCCCGAAGTGCGAAATCCCGAAAATTACCAAAAAGCACCATACTGCTCAAAGGCATAAAAAACCCAAACGCTACACAGCGAAAATCAAAGTAGAATACTACTACCCATAGCAGTCGTCTCCATCGAACCAGGAGAACGGTTTAAGCTTAGCGCCTTAAAAAACCAAGAATCACAACGATCATTTATAGCGTCTAGAGCTCAAAATAGGCTACCACTGCCAACAAAACTGGTCAATTATGAAATCACGCGGATGGGCGGAAGAGTAGTTCAAAACTGAAATAAAATCTGCCCCAATTACCCTAACTTCCCCAAAGCGGATAAACGCATTCAAACAGAAGTTATTGTCTTACCGCAACTAACAAATATGCTTCCAAACTATCACATAAATAGCAAGCATTGGCAAAATGTTTCACACCTAAAGCTAGCAAATCCCAACTGCAACAACCCCACTCAAATAGATCTTCTATTAGGCAGCGATCTCATACCACAGATAATACTCGAAGGTATTGGGAAAATTTCAAACACACTTCTGGCACAAAATACTGTTTTTCGTTGGATCCTAGTTACGGAACCAGTTACCACCATGACAACTCAAGTTGAGGAAATCTCAAACGAATACCTCAATTACCAGTTGAGAAACATTTGGGACTTAGAAGAACTCCCCCCATTTCAATTACAACCCCAGAAGATCAGTATTGGGAAGACTTTTACAAAGCCACAACTACTAGATCAGATAATGGTCGGTACGTCGTACGACTACTACTAAAACAACAATTTGACTATCACTATTGAGAGACTCAAAACCTATTGATAAAAGAAGTCCCCTCTTAGTTCTAAACCCATTCCTAGACATGAAAGATATTCTTCGTATGAATGGTCGGCTTTCCAATTTAAGCCTAACGTATAACGGACACCATCCCATAACTGTGTCAGAGAAGTCTTGACTTGCCACATTAATCCACAGTTATATCCCCGTACTAATGCTTCATGCAGAACATCGCCTCATGCAACATATGGTTCGCCAGGAATTTTATATTCCCCGACTTAAGCTCCAAATAAAGAAGTGCATTTTCATGTGCAAAATCTTCACTACGCATAAGCAAAAGATGCGAACACAGACTATGGCAGCAGTTCTCCCGGAACGCTACAACTTCGTTCTGCCTTTCTCCAGAGGTCGATTTTGCTGGGGCTTTTCAGATAGTACGCGTCCCAATACGTTAATTGGCAATTTATAGCGCCGAGCACTCCTCATATTAATTATAATTGAACCCGGTCTCAATTCAAGGCCCTCACAAACCCTCTCGGAAGATCCCTCCGACTTCCAGCCTTAACTGCAGAGCACTTTCTCAAAGGAGCCCCCATTCTGGCCACACCTGAGTCAGTCGTGGAGTCGAGTTCTAAATCACGATTTCAGCCGCCGATGGAAAGAAGAGTACATAATGGATCTTCATAAAAGATACTGTTGGAAGACTCCTGAAAAAGCAACAAAACTTATAGATTGTGTCATCATACATGATGATAGTCTACCCCCTTTGTCATATGAGAGTCGTTGTTCTTCGTACCCAAACCGAAACGCTGACCAGCTCGTGAAGCTGTGCTTTTTACCAACCGCACATAATAACGACAAAGCAAGCGATAAACTATAAACCGATAATAATCCCGAAATCATATTTAATAACCGATTCAATAAACCGACAAAAAAACGCAAAGACAATAAGTTGTAAGCTCGACAACAATCCGATAGTATATAATCTAACGGGTTGATCAATATGACGACCACTTCATCCCACAAAAAGTTTTAGAATGTCCATTTCAACATATATCTAACAACTTTATAAAACCCAATAACCTTTTCTACACAGATAACTATGGACGCATATGCACCTATTCCAACGCCTGCTATCCGGTCGGCTATCAATGTGTCGCGACCTAGCCTTACTCCAGCGCAACGAGCTGTAACTGGAACCGCTCCTCGAAGTGGCACGCGACCAACACCAAACATGTAACCGCAGAGCGTCAGGTGAATCATTGCAACATTTTCAGTGGTATGCAACCGATGCAACGGCAGCAGATTGTCCCGTCTCATGGGCATTGTCTCAATTGTTTGACAGCGGTGCCAAATATGCGGCTGGCTGCATCATACGTTGCTCCAACGCAACCCGAGATGCGACATCGGTCGGCCGCCTGCCGAAAACAACACACACCAATACATACAACTAGACACAACCACCGAAGGATACCAACATACACCACACACGATCTAACCACTCTCTCTGTCTAATCAACAAAAAGGATCGACGACTGGATGCGTCCCTTTTTTTCGATTGATCGCCGTCAGAAGTGAACCTGCGAATTGAACACTAAAAGTGCTATAATTCACTAAATAAATGTGCCACAAGGATTAAATTTCACAACCAGGCTTTAAGGAGCAAGTGTAAAAATTGGACAATGGGCGTGGCACTGCCCACCTTTTGGTTAAATCTTATATCTCAGGAACTACTTTACCAATTTCAACCACATTTGATTCTTCCTATCACCATGAAAATTGGCGAAATTAGATGACGACTACACCTACTTCTCATACAAAAATCTTTTAATTTCCATCTAATTCTTTCACTTTACGGTATACAAATCAAAAATCAATAAAGTTATCAGAGTAAAACTTTTCACTAATACATAGTGCCCTTAAGTTATTTCATCTTACCCTCCAAAATTGTCGAAATCTGACTATAATTATTCAGAGACCCTTATTTTTTCCGAACTTATCAGTAAATTTGTGAGGTCTAGTATTAAAATTCGGAGAATATTTTTTTGATGACAACATGCCTTTGTGCCAAAAATCGGGTCAATATTTCTTTTAGCCCCTTATAACACAAACAGTCACCGACATTATTCCCTTCCGTACTTACTGCCTGTATCAAACCAAATTTGTCAAAAGTTATGCCCGTAGTTGCAACGCAGAAATCAGTTGTTCTCTTTTGTTTTCATTTCACCAATGTTGCCATTGTTCTATTTGTATACACGATTTCACACATTTAGTTTTTTAGTTATAATTTTTCCATACCATCCCACGATTTCAGGTTTAAAATGGGTATGGTTGGATAGAGGAGATTCTCCAGATCAAGAATATAGATATATATAGAAATAGCCGCCGGAAACTTATAGTTTTCGAGTTATTGGGATTTTAAGTTGAAAAATGGGTTTCATGTTGACAAAAAATAAGTGTTGCCATATCTATCTATATATATATAAAAAAAGAAAGTGTGTGTGTGTATGTTCCGTGTAGGCTCCGAGACGGCAGGGCCGATTTCAATGAAACTTTGAGGAAATCTTTAGATTGACCTGACGAGTAACCCTGTAACAAAATATCTACAAGAAATGGATCACGACCGAATGGCTCAATCACGAAAAAGACTAGATTTAAAACTTGCGGCGTTCAACTACAATAAAGATGACGATTACAGAAATCACAAGGATGTAGTGATCGGTACAATGAACAAAGTTTGTTCACATTATGGTGCTTTGAAGGTCGCGAAAGAAAGGCCTGGAATGTGCTGTTCGAACGGTAAAATGGTTGTGTCACCAAGAGAAAGTTTGTAAGTATGCTCCTTATAAACTCCGAAACGGCTAAACCGATTTCAATAAAATTTTTCGGAGGAGCTTCAGGTTGACCAGCGAGTGATCCTGTAAGATTTGGTGGCGATCGAAAATTAAAAAAAATCTTTATTTTTTAATGTCAATGACATTTTCTTTTACTACTGATATGTTATTGTTTTTATTACACAATTCTGTTGACATGTGCGTCGTGTATATTTATGTTATTTAATCAAACATATTTGGGTATAATGAATGATATTGAAGTATAAACAATATGACCATGTAATTTAACTAAAATTATCGCGAAGAGTAAGCCATGACTAACAGATGAACAAAATAATATTTACAATCGGATTAAGCTAATTGCCAGATAATTTCAGCCCTGTTTTAGACGGGAAAAAAATTTATTTGCAGTGTCTGGGAAACAAAATAAAATAATTACTTAAATCAAAACTGAGTCTGTAATCGGGTTAGATTGACAGCAAAAAATGCAGAAATTAAAATTAAACAGCTAACTCAAATATAATTTAATTATACCTTAGCCACAGCAAGGCGTGGCAGGGATCTTCTAGTCTATAGTCTATTATAAATTTTTATATATTTATATTATGCAAACGAATTAAAATGGACAATAATAGAGGATTATACCCCAAATACATGAACCAAAATTATTTTCGTTAACTTCTCTTGATAAATCACGGTATTGGATCGGCCAAGGTTATTTTTTTGAAGCCAATGCAGAAAGCAGTAGGAGGCGAAAGGAATCAGAACTACCCCAGCCGCCAATGCAGATAGAAGTAGGACGTGAAAGGAATAAGGACCACCCCAGTGTTAGATCGGCAAGGGTTATTTTTTTGAAGCGCGGCCGAAGACCGCCAATGTAGCACAATTCCCACAACAGCCGGTTCTGCGATACCGGAATTGACCCGGATTTTATCCGGCCAAGGGCTGTTATTTCGACGATCTAACCCTGTTTGGATCGGTAAGTTTTAGATTAAGTTTGTCGTCATTGGAGCAACGCCTAGCAGCAGGGTTGCTCCGTATCCTCCTGACCAGTGCTGGCATCGAGTCCAACCCGGGCCCCGAGGTATTCTACTGCTGCGTATGCGCAAAAAGGCTCCATCCAAATTCCACCTCGGTTAGGTGCAATACATGCAATGGATGGAGCCATCTTAAGACCTTCTCGGGCCTTAAGACACACAGGGAGTGGACCACGAGTTACGTGGCCCCATGCTGTCAACGCAATAATGCGACATCTGCCTCAACGGCCGTGCAACCTGCACCATGTTCGCGCACTGCGCTGCCACTCCAGTCGAGTGGCCAAGATAGGACCTCCACGGTCCTAAGGAGCTCACATAGACAGCATAACTCCCAATCTGACCAACCATCGTTCTTTGGCATTCCTGCCTGTCAAACGATCGTAGGGGAATGGAGCTGGCGGAACACATTGAAGATTCGACGTTCTGCACAATGAATGACGAAGCCCCCAACAGAATTATGGGCACCTGTAACAGCTCGCCAGATATTACCATCGCTAGTGGTGGTCTGATAAATAGTATAACCTGGCGACCTATGCTAACTCTTGCATCAGACCATCTGCCCATAATTATCTCGATCGAGAAACCTCCTGACTTTATTTCTATGGATAACCGCACCTATGTTAACTTTAACAAAGCTAACTGGGTCGGCTTCACAGAATTTACTGAGAGCACCTTCAACGCACTATCCATTCCTACGGACGTCATCGTTGGCGAGCGTCAATTCCGCAAGGTGATCGCTGCTGCTACAGCTCGCTTCATACCGGCTGGAAGAATAGCGGAACTCCGCCCTAATTTCCCAGCCGAAGCAGCTGTATTAGCAAATGAGCGCGACACCCTCCGCCATGCCGATCCCTGTGATCCCCGAATAAAGGATCTCTATTTGGAGATTCGGCAAATGGTAAACCATCATAAGCGGACAAAATGGATAGAGCACCTGAAGTCCTGCAACCTCTCCACCGGTGTGAGTAAGCTTTGGACTACTGTCAAGGCCCTGTCAAATCCGAGGAAACATGACGATCGGGTTGAAATTCAATTCGATGGCCATGCCTCCTCGGACCCGAAGAAGTGCGCGAGCTACTTTAGCCGGCGGTTTATACTGCACCCTTCGACCGACAAGGCCAAACGATGTGTTACCCGACGGCTGCGCAAAATGCCAAAAGACTGCGCACCACTTACTTTCACCGATGGGGAGGTTCAGAGTGTCATCAAAAAGGCGAAATCGTCTAAATCCATCGGCCCTGACGGAATAAGCATGCTGATGTTAAAACATCTAGGCCCAACGGGAGTAAACTACCTCACCAAGGTCCCCAACCTGTCGATATCCACTCTTCAAATACCCGATGTGTGGAAAGTCGGAAGAGTGGTCCCACTGCTGAAACCTGGGAAACCCGCCAACAAAGGGGAGTCTTATCGCCCGATAACTCTCCTTTTCCCAGTAGTGAAGACACTTGAGGCCTTGTTACTCCCGTCATTCACCCACCACCTGAGCCTAGCAGACCATCAGCATGGCTTCCGTAAAGTGCACAGTACCACCAGATAGTTCATGGCCTGAACCAGAAGCCACCCTGCGAGAGGACGATCCTCGTAGCGTTGGACTTGTCAAAAGCTTTTGACACAGTCAATCACGCAACGCTACTTGAGGACCTGGAACAATCAACGCTCCCTCCAGGGCTGAAGCGGTGGACCATGAACCACCTGAGCGGTCGACACTCATCCGTACTATTTCGAGGTCAAAACTCCAAACTCAGGAAAATTAAACAGGGGGTTCCGCAGGGCGGTGTCCTCTCCCCGCTACTATTTAATTTCTACATTTCAAAACTCCCCCAGCCACCAGCGGGAATTTCAATGACCTCGTACGCAGATGACTGTACGATATTGACGTCGGGCAATGGAATCGATGGCATGTGTTCAGAAGTAAACGGCTACCTCTCCGATCTTTCTCGCTTCTTTTCTGCAAGGAACTTAACACTCTCCCCCACTAAATCCACAGCGACCATCTTCGTCACTTTGGACAGTCTGTGCTCTTTCACTCCTCATACGACCGCGATAACTGCCAAAGTACAGAGCCGCAACAAAATCCTCAAGTCGCTTGCCGGCAGCTCATGGGGAAAAGACAAAGAAACGTTGTTGGCAACATACAAGGCAATCGGCCGGCCGGTCCTCAATTATGCAGCCGCAATATGGTCGCCTGGATGCAGTGACACGCAGAATAAGAAGCTTCAGACTTGTCAGAACACTGCACTCCGGACTATCACGGGGTGCCTCTTGATGTCCCCAATCGAACACCTACATAGCGAGGCCCGTATGCTTCCGGTTAAGGTACATAACGAGCTCCTCTCCAAGCAGTTTCTGCTGGGATGTTTTCGCAGAAACCACCCCTGCAGACGCCTGCTTGCAGCGGAGCAGCCTCCTAGGCACATCAAGAGGTCCTTCCTTGACTACGTCGACGACATCAGACAGCACGCCGACCAGACTTCGGACGCAACTAACTTCAGACAGGCACTGAGCGCCATTCACAGTGGAGCCATTAACGCCTTCACCGACTCCCTCTCAGTGAATGGCGTAATACGAGTCAAACCACCACCCATTGCAGACACAGAGCTCGAGTTGCCTCGCGAATCTAGAGTGACCCTCGCGCAACTTCGTTCTGGATACTGTAGCAGGTTAAACTCCTACCTATCCAGAATAGACCCTGACATACCAAACACATGTCCTGCATGCAATGAGTCTCCGCATGACACTAACCACCTCTTTGCATGCCCAACAAACCCCACTCATCTAACACCCCTCTCCCTATCTATAAATCTAGAATTTATCACCCAAACGGGGATTAGATAATCGTTATAACAACAACAACAAAAAGCCAATGTAGCCGTTTCCACCACAGTCGGGTCTACGTAACCGGAACGGACCCGGATTTATTCCGGCCAAGGACTGTCAACTCGGTAGAATTCTGCCGCTATAACAACAACAACAACCGCCAATGTAGGAAGAAGTAGGACGCAAAGGAATAACGACCACCCTAGTGTTACTTTACTCATTTTGTTTACATTGTTTTATCCGTATTATATGTGTAATTACCTGCTTTCATGCTCGGTGGGTGGATTAGTTTTCAATTCTTGTAGCTTTGCAAACATGCTTTTCCACATTCTTTCCTCATCCATATTATATTTTATGAAATTCCAGCAATTTCTTGGAGTTTAAAGATAACAAGTTATAATGGCCAAATATGACTCAAAGCAAGTTATTTACACAAAACATATGTTAATGTCTGCCAGTTCTACTAACTTAGCCATCGTTTAGACTTACGGTCAAATTTAAATTGATATTTTGGTTAGCAATGTACAGATATTAATAAGCAGAGATGGAATTTCACATTTTTAAGCGCGCTAAGTTTCGTCAAAAATATGTACGAATATGTAGTCCTGCGTTGAGGAACCTAAACTATATATATATACCTCGAAATTAAAAATATTATAAAACATTTTCTATACAAAAGACATTTTTTTCGAACAATTCATTAACGCGAAAAATCAGTTAACGTATTTTTAATACCGTGCTCCAAGATCTCCTCTGGGAGAAGATATTCAGAGGGTCTAGGTACGAAGCATCCTTCCAAGGAGTGTGCTTTAAAAGAAACATGCTGCAGGTGCACTCCTAGAATGAAAGATCTGCTAACTGGCTGAGGGAGATCGCTCTCAATCTGGTGGCTGGAAAGGCCCGTCTGCGCAAAGAAGGGAGATGCCAGTCAAATGCTTTTGTGAAATTTTGTGTTTGATGGATAGCTTGGTGGACGTAAGCGAAAGTAACTTCTAATAATGTCTCTTCTGGGGGACATCAACAGTTTCACAATTGGAAACATGCGCATTGCGAAATCTCTTTCTCTCTCATTCTTGGGTATAATTAGTGCATTAAGTTGTGTACCAGTATTTACGACTTGACTGGTATTCTTAATCTCAGCAACAAAACCTTCTCTTAAGATACTTCTTGGTTTACTGAACTAAATTTGATCGCAACACTACAACTAGGTATGATTTACTCAGAAATTGTTGCTTTAATACTCTTTAACAATGATGGCAGTCATTTAGTCTGAATTACTTTATAATTGTCCAAGTAATTCTCTGTCCAAAACCGCATTTCCATAGTTATCTTGTTTTTGTTGAAATTAATATAAGTAGATTGTTTTGATATTTTGTAAGCAACATAATCACGTAAAAGTAAAAAAAATCAATTTCTAATAAATTTCGTAAATACTGTGTTTCAAAATCAAGATTTTATTATTATTATTATTGGTAATTATACTTTTGACTGCGTCATAGAATATTTAATGTTTGTTATCGACATATTTTTTTTATTCAGATTATATATACTTCTCTAAATAACAAAATGTAACCGCTGATGGATGATTTAGCGAAATCGTGAATTTTGAGCTTTCAAACTGAACATGTGTTTCAGCAAGTGCACTATCTATTTTCGGGCTCTTTACAGTACAAAGTTTGTTCACACAAAAATATTATATTTATAATTTTTTATTCAGGTTATTGGTTTCATTGAAATTACTAGGTATGTATTTAATTTAAAAAATGTCTTCGTGATCTGTACTTATATGTTTTAGTGCTTAATCGCACTTTTTTACCGCCCTTTGTAATAAAGTATTTTAGCATATGTAACCCAATTTTCTGTGGAATAAAAGTTGCTAGCTAGCTTTTGTTTTGTTTGTGAATATGATTATTGTGTATGTCAAGTTGAAAAATTAACTGCAGATTTGATCCCGAATAAGGGATCTCAATTTGGAGATTCGGCAAATGGTAAATCAACATAAGCGGACAAAATCAATCTCTCCAACGGTGTGAGTAAGCTTTGGACTACTGTCAAGGCCTTGTCTAATCCGAGGAGATATGACGACCGGGTTGAAATTCAATTCGATGGCTACGCCTCCTTTGACCCGCAGAAGTGCCACTTACTTTCACCGATGGGGAGGTTCAGAGTGTCATCAAAAAGGCCAAATCGTCTAAACCCATTGGCCCTGACGGAATAAGCATGCTGATGCTAAAACATCTAGGCTAGACGAGAGTAAGTTACCTCACCAAGGTCCTCAACTTGTCGATGTCCACTCTTCAAATACCCGATATGTGGAAAGTCGGAAAGTGGTCCCCTACTGAAACCTGGGAAACCCGCCAACAAGTTTTATCGTCCGATAACTCTCATTTCCCCAGTAGTGAAGACACTTGAGGCCTTGCTACTCCTGACATTCACTCACCACCTGAGTATAGCAGACCATCAGCATGGCTTCTGAAAAGTGCACACTATCACCACAGCACTTAGCGTCGTGAACGCCCAGATAGTTCATGGAATAAACCAGAAGCCACCTTGCGAGAGAACGATCCTTGTAGCGTTGGACTTTTCAAAAGCTTTTGACAGTCACAGTCAATCACACAACGCTACTTGAGGACCTAGAACAATCAACGCTCCCTCCAGGGCGGTGGACTATGACTTTGAGGTCAAAACTCCCGATGACAACCAAACTATAACTTATCATCCAAGCGGGGACTAGATAACCGCTACAACAACAGCGATAATACTGCCATTCTCCAGAAATTAAAAAATTTTGCGTAATTTTGCACAGAATGGCTTTTGGGTATAATGTAAACGGAGATGCTTTTCGCATATATGTATGCTTAGGAAACTGTAGAAATCTTTGTAGCACCTTGGCTCTACTTGCCTCCATCGATTCGTAAAGTTTTAAAACATTTAATATTATTGAAAATGTTTCGTTACCAATAAGAATGATGTTAAAAGATACGGTTGAAGCAAGACCCAAAGACTTACGCAATTATATGCTGAATCACACTCCGAAAAACTCGAGACTGCATACCATGGAAGACTTAATCGAACCCTTTCATAACCCAAATTCTAAAAGTATCTCGAAGTACTGTAAAAAACATACATGTTGATGATGAGGTTAAGCATCTTCTTTAATATTTCCAAAAGCTGTGACTGGGAATAGTTTTTAAATAGCATAAATATATAAGAATTTGTTACGTTACACTTCAAAATTGTTATATTTCGAAATGTTTCACAAAGCGCCGTCAGATTGCCGATTTCTCAAAGTGTGCGCTGAGTAGATCTGTTCGCTTTCAATTGAAGGATTTGAAAACTTTTTGTGACTGTCACGTATTGAATTGCAAAATTGTCTCTAATTTAAAATCTCAAATTAAGAGAAATGTGACTCTATTAAATTACCGAATCTTACATGCAGACTTACCAATATAAGGCACGTTTATGTCGTGTATGACCACTTTAACGATAGCTAGCTTGTAGGGTTGCCTGTCTAGTAAGGTTTTATGAGTCAGAACACCTTATTTTTAGGGAACTTGTTCTCTGGCAGCTCTGTTTACTGGCGAGTTACTTTGTGTTGTATCGCTTTTATTGGTTGAAATATGACCAATCCGAATAGACCATCTGTTAAATTGTTTGATTCTTTTTCTCATCTGTCGAAACCGTGTATGAAAGAGATAAGGGTAGCATATAATTTTACCGGCATTAGCTTGAACGGAGCATTTATTTCAGTTCTACTCTGATTATACCGAAGTGAATTTGAGTGCTGTTGGATAAATAACGTCTAAGAATGTATTCGTGGATAATTAAAATATTACCCATATTATTATATACATCTGAGATTGTAAAGTCTGAAATATATTTAGAAGATAATTTTAAAGATGGTAATGTTCTTTGTATGTACACACATAAATTAGATTTACTGATTTGGAGATGTAATTTATTTTAGATACTTGGGAGAATTTATGGATATATAGTAAACATCCTGGCAAGGAGTTCGGTAAATTTGTAAGAAGTTCTGGCAGATTTTATAGAGATGAAAATGTTGATAAGGGTAAGCAAAATACCAAATATTGTTTGTATGTTAAGAATTTTATTGTTATACTTATTAATGTCTTATTAAATCTGTAAATATGATGGAAAACTTAAGTATACCGTCCCAGGCTTTCGGGGATAAAATGGATAGAGGAGATCCTCCAGATCATGAAATTTTAAACGTAAATATCTCGAAAACTATAAGTTTTACGCGGCTATATCTATATATATTCTTGATCTGCAGGATATTTTCTATCCGCCCATACCCATTTTATCTCCGAAAGCCTGGGTCGGTATACTAAAGCGGACACGTATATTGTGCCGTATTATGTGTAGCCAAAATACTATGCCTGTAGGCCTGACAGCTTCTACAATAGTCGTTGTAAGGTACACCTAGCCTGCTGACATGCCTACCAATTAGACAGTGACCTGTTAGTACTCCAATCAGAGTTCTTATGTCATTCCTTTTGAATTTTAATAGTCGGTTTGTGCGACTCACGCTCCATTCCTGCCACGTTAGTTCTGCTAGTTCTGCTAGTTGAGCAAGTTATTGATTGCCTCCACCGAGACTCAGATTTGTAGCATGTTCGCTGATTAAGTGTTTGCAAGTTTGCCAGAGGCATAAAAATTCCCTCTTTTTCAGGGGTTAATTGTAAAGTGGTACCTGTTCTGGCTAGTTCATCTGCTTCACAGTTACCAGGGATATCACTATGCCATGGGACCCATTGCGGGTTTATCGTAAAGTAGGATGTTAGATTCTCTTAATAGATCAAGACATTATTTCACTATCTTTGATGAGACCATAGGAGACTTGAGTGATTTCAAGGCTGCTTGGCTATGCGTATATATATATATATGCTCCTCGTTGTGAGCACACTTTTTGTCCATACCACAAGGCTTTCTTTGATTGCTGTGATCTCCGCCTATCTTCACCCTAGCATCCAAGTTTTGTTTCCATGAAAGCTTCCTGTCTAAGGTTAGTCCTAAGTAGCTTGCCTTATCTCCAACAATTAGTCTGCTACCATTTAATACTGGCACCGTCACTACTGGAGTAATATGTTTCCTGGTGATTAATACTAGCTCTGTTCTACGGAATAACGATATTCACTTATCAAATTATCAAATTGAGTGCATATTACGGAATGTTATTTTAAAAGTAATTGGTATCAATATTTTATGTAGTGCAAAATATATATCAAAACGTATTTAACGAATGCCTACTTCAATTTCATTGCTCGGAGCTGTATATTGTTGTCGCAGACTTTGGTTTTTGAGATATTTGCATTTAAAGTTCAAAAAATGACATATTTAAAGAGCTTTATAATGAATTTTATACTTATATTTTTAACTTCTATATCAACAAAAACTTCGCTATTTCATTTTTACACATTTAGTTTATATTGAATAGTCCAAAAATAACAATAATGAATTTTTTTTAATTAGGTAAACTTTCT